GTGAGGAGAGGGTACAATTTAGCCCAGGTTGGACCTTCAGGACCGCAACCCTACGAAGGCTGACTCCTACTTCAGCAGGTAGTCCCACCACACAGAGCCGCCCGATAAAGTAGGAGGCTGCAGATGCATGGTGAAGAGCACAGGGCAGGGACTGGTCTGGAGTGGGAGCAGTGCAGGACCAGGGCAGCTTCCTTCATCAGCCTTAACAGCCCAACTCCAGCACCCTCAGAGGCTGGAGCCAATCAAAGCCAGATGTGGCAGCAAACAGAAAAACCTTATTTACAAAGGAATAATGAAGCCATTTGGGGGACTGGTGCTGGGGGGGGGGGTGAGCGCAGACAGGGGGTGACCAATGCAGACGCTAAGCAGGTTTCTCATGGACAGGACTAGAGGCGGTGCTCCTCCAAGGTCTGGGTGAAATGGGGTCTGTAGGTCCCTTAATGGCTCTACTGCTACAAGGCTGAGCTGGGGGGCGTTGAGTAAGGTCCCTGAGGAGGCCTCCTCCTTTTGTCTGGAAACTCTATGCCTGAGGGAGAAGCAGGGGCAGAAAGTACTAGAGGAGAAACTGTACCCCCCACCAAAGAAAGGCAGTACAGGCTATGTCAAGGGTCCAAGGAACACAGTATATGTGTATGGAGAGAGGTGGCCAACTTTTCTGGGGGGGGGGGGGGAGGGAGAGATCTTTCCCTGGGACCTGGGCCTCTCCTATTAATTTAGTTGGCTGGGCCAGCGGAGCTCCAGGTATCCCACTCAGTACTAGGCATACAAGCATATTCTACCACGCCTAAATTTTTACAGGGGTTCCAGGGAGCTAACTCAGGTCCTCATGCTTGCACAGCAAGTACTTTAGTCCTACTGAGCCACCTCCTGAGGCCCAGGAGAATAATATGTTACAGCTGGCTGGAGAGTAGGGAAAGGACCCATGTGTCTATCAGCTGCCTCTGTAACCTTGTACAGAAATCTGGCTATCCCCTGAGGCTTGAGCTAAGAGGGAAGCCCTGAGGAAGTCCACAACTGGCACAGCACCTGGGACAGTGAGCACAAGCCTGGAGATGAGGGTGGGTGTTGGAGAAGGGACCGTGTTCACAGGACAGCCAGCATCCTTTGCCATGGTACATCAGCTCACTGGGGTCAAGAATCACAGCTCCCTAAGAAGGAACAACAACAACAAAAACAAAAACCCCAAAAAAAACACATGTCCACACACAAATCTGAGTAGCAGTATTGGTCACAAAGGGCCAGATGGTTGAAACAATTTGTGAGTCCACTGAGTCATGAACAAAATGTAGTCCACCCATACTACAGAATGTTACCCAGTCCTGAAGATGAAGAAAATCCTGCCCTCTGCCACAGTATGGATGAAATCTGAAGGTACTGCTTGAAGATAGGAAGCAGCCATAGGGAAAACAGATCATGTGTGTTACCACTCATGTGATGTTTCTAGAATTACCACATCCACAGGGACAGGGGAAGGTAAAATGGGGGTGCTAGTGATGAGGGTAGGGGGGCATGAGTAAGGGTGACAGCTTGTGAAAATGTATACAACTCTGGCAACACACTCAAAGCCACTGAACCACACCCTGATGTGCAATCTGCACAGTGCAAAGCACGCCTCTGTAAAGCTGTTTGTTTAAAGTCAGAAACGATGGGGAGAATGTTCAGCAGGTAAAGCCGCCCACACCAAGCCTAATAAGCTCAGCTGAATCCCCTGGACGTAGAGAATGGACTCTTGAAACTTATCCTTTGAGCTCCACACCCCTTCGTACATAACAAATAAACAAGTAAATGCAATCTGACTTTCTTTTAAAGTGTTTTCATTTTGTGTCTATGTGTGCATCTGTGTGGTGGTGCACATGAGTGAACCCCTGCATTGTTCAGAGGCACTGGATCCCCCTGGGGCTGGAGCTGACTGCTGTTGTGAGCACCCTGATGTGGGGGTGCTGGGAACCAAACCCAGGGCCTCTACAAGAGCAGTGTGTGTTCTTAACTGCTGAGCCATTTTGTCAATCCAATCGATGTAATTCAAAATAAAAGGCAGATGTTAATGTCACAAGGCCAGTTCTCTCCTGCCCAGGATAACAAAATGAGGGGACAGCCCTCTCATCAGATCTAATAGCTCTGACCTTGCACACACATCCTCTGCACTTACCTAGTGGCAGGCAGCCCACTTTCTGAGGGTCTTAGTTGTCTCTGCAACCCTTCTCTCCTGCCCTCACAATCAGCTGATATAGTCTGAAAACACAAGGGTAGGGTATGTGCACTTTCTTTGAGGGTTAAGAGAAAGTGACACCAAGTCACAGGGAAGCTAGTTCCTGGAGCCCTTACCCAGGCACAGAGATGAACTTGCTAAGGCACTGGTTGACCCTCCCCTGATGCTTCAGATGAGGAGAGGAGCCTGGGGCCTGGAGAAGTGACACCCAGCCTGCTCCTCTCAGAGAACAGTACATGCCAGGGGTTGTAGGAAGCCTCAGACAGGGCCCTTTCCCTGAGTTCAATAGCACCCCATCCCAGGCCACAACCTGTGGACTTCTTTCTCCTTGGGCCACTTCCATGGTGTGGTAAGCAAGGCTGGGCTTTTCTGCCAGTTCTGATTAGCCAGACAAGAAACACTCCTGGAATATGAGCTTCATAGGCCCAGAGGGGCTAACAAAGCACCCGGAAAGTAGACGGGAATACAGAAGCTTCAGGACTCCTTGAGTGACTCAGGCAAGCCATCTCCTCAAGCTCTACCAGACAGCCTGGAATTAAAGTTTCATATTCTCTGTGGCTCATGAGGTGTGCATGTGCACTTGCACACAGGCCTGCTGTAGTAGCTCATCCCAGCCTTCTATAACCCCACCATGAGCATACCCTTTGGGGCTGAGTCTGTGAGGTTGCAGGAATATAGAAGGGCCCCCTGAGGCTCTGCCCTTATGTAACTCCTCTAGAATTAGTGGGCTTATGTGCACTAAGTAGAGATGGCAAAGGGGTCTGGCAACAAGGAGGCAGATGACTCTGTCTCCCTGTCCCTGGTTACTTGCCCACCTAAGCTGCCTTACCCTAGGTGACTTGACTGTATACTGGAGTGACTACTGCACCTCAGGACACCCCAGTTGCCCTACCCAGGGAGCCTCCTGGGCGTGGGGGAAGCAGGCACCCAGCAACTCGAGCCCATGCCTCCTCCCCTGGTGTGTGTGTGTGTGTGTGTGTGTGTGTTAGAGAGACTGGGGCAAAGCTGGTGGAGGACTTTGGCAGCCAGCAGGACATGATGAAGGGTGACCTTGGCCCCCAGGGCTGCCTGTGCCCCTGTGGAGATTGTGAACAGTTCCTTGTGCATGTGGCGTGAAAGATGGGATTTCTCCTCCCCCAACAGTGAGGGTCCTCCGTGCCCGAGGCCCCATGAATTATTTCTCTAAGGAAAATACAGTTCTCCTGCCCACTTCCTGACCTTCCCCATCCTCTAAATCAACATTTGAAGGGTGCTTTTGCTGGCCTTCAGCCTCCGCCAGCATGCTCTCCACCCCTCCCTCAGCTTTGCACTCCAGTGGGGGTGGGGCTGAGCACTGACTCCATCTCAGGAGGCCCCAAGCCCTGCTCAAAACCCACAGCCCACAGCCCAGCCATGTTGCAGAGCACGGATTCCAAGTCCAGGCAGACAGGCGCCCAGAAACGGAGGCGAGATGCCACATGGGCACATGAGTGATGAGACTAGGATATCCATGGCATCTGGTGATACCATGACTGCTCCCCAAATCTCTAAGCAAACTTCTTCCTTAGAACTGAATTTCACATCAAGACAAACACACAATTAGAAACACTAAGATAGTCATAATCACAATCACGCACACTTTAAGACACACACACACACCACATAGTGGGTCTCACACACATAATGACACAGACACAGACACACACACTGAACCAGTTTCAGACACATACACACACACACACACACACAACCACAGAATCGGACACATATGCTCTGAGTCAACTCTCAGATATATTAACACACATAATACTGGACACAGGCAGAGATACCTCATTTACAGACCCATGACAGACACCCTGACATTTAGACACAGTCATAAACACAAACTAGGGCCTGGATTAGTGGCACACGCTTTAATCTCAGTACTCAGGAAGCAGAGGTAGGCAGACCTCTGAGTTGAGGCTAGCCTGGTCTATATAGCAAGTTCCAGGACAGCCAGGACTACACAGAAAAACCCTACCTTAAAAAACCAAAGACAAAACCCAAACACCCCCACACCCCACCCCCACAACTCTGGCATCAATGCTGAAAAATAATCAATAGACACATACTCTCAAAATTCTAGTCAATGTAGCTAAAGGCATATGACTTTGTTACTTTAAAATCTTAAAAAATTATTGCCTGTGTATGTGTGATGGGTATTTGTGGGCAGGTGTGCTCCACAGATGTGTGGAAATCAGAGGACAATTTTGGTGGAACCTACTCTCTTCCATTCACCTTCTGTGGGTTCTGGGGATCAAACTCAGGTCCCCAGGCTTAAAGGGAAGTATCTTTATCTAGCAATCAACCCTGCTGGCCCTTTGCGCCTTGTAATCTCTGTCTCTGTACTCATACTGGCTCCATGGTGCTCTTTCATGTCTGGTCACCCATAGCCTCTGGTCATGGTGGCCTGGCCTGGCTGTCTCCTTGCAATGACACAGCCCCTGGAGCCTGCAGATCTGTCTCTGATCTCCCTCATGCCCTTCCACATCCTTCCTGCTCCCCATCCCTCTCTGGTCCTTCCTGCCATTGTATCACACTAAAACCTGTCTGGACAGGCGATCCCCTCCCTCCTCCATGAGGGCTGCAATCTGGGGCTGTTTCCTGGGGCTCACACACTTGCCTGGCAGTGGGCTTCTGCTTGCACAGAGCCACCCTGAGCTGCCCTATCGGGTAATGAACGTTCACACTGCTGTCTGTGTCCCAGGCCTCCTGCACCACATATGTTAGAGACCCAGAGACGCCATCCATAACAGAAAGCAAAGTGTCCAGGTCTTTCTCCATGAAGGATTTTTATTTGAGTTTGTCAGAACTATAGTGCTCACTAGGTCTGTGGCCCAGTCCCTGTTAGCACAGGTCATAGGCCAAACCAAGAAGGGATACCAGGGCACCGGGGGTCGCTGCTCTGCCTCTGCTGCTGAGGCTCCTCTTCCAGAGGGTCTGCAGGACTGGGCTCTTTCTCTGGAAAAAGATCTGGGAAGGTGAAGGTCTGCCCATGGGCCTGGAGAGAAAAACAAGGGGCTTAGTTGAGAGCCTGAGGCTAGCCTTCCAATCTCAGAGGGATTCAATGCCTATAAGCTAACAATCCTGGACTCTGGATGACAAACAACAGGATGATGAGCCACCAGTGTCTCTAGGCAGGGTTCCTGCTGGGAAAACAAACACCTTGCAGGCCAGCCCTTCAACCTTTATCTATCAGCAGCAGGCTATTACTGGGACAATGGCCCTTTTCATAGACATTATCTCTTTACAGGGGTCTGCACCAGTCCAGGGCTCATTAAAATCAGTTCAGCAAAGGCCCATTCACTAGGCGGCAGCCGGTGGAACTGGGGGCAGGAACTAGGAGCAGAAAAACAGGACACAAATGACGTCTGGTGCCATGCTAAAACTTTTTCCATCCAAAATATCTAAAGGCCTTCAGCCACATTAAAGGCCGCCCTCCTCCAGGCTCCGAACTTGGCAAATAAAATGCACACAACGTACAGAGAAACCTACATACGCAGCAGTCTATAAATCAAGCCTGGCTTTGCAAATTAACTGCTTTTACGTCTTTCACTAGAAGTTCAGAGTGTGTCAGCATGGCCACGTCCCAGCCTGGGGCCCCAAGCATGTGGGCCAGCACCAGTGAAGGCCCTGAGAGGGGGAACGAGCCAGTACTGCAAGGCTCTAAGCAGATCCAGGGCTGGGAGGCTCATTTGCAGCCTGCTAACATCTCTAAGATAAGAGGTGTAAGAGCGAAGGGGCACAAAAGGACCAACCTGGAGGCAGAGAGACCCCCCTCTTGCCATTCTCTCTTATCTCACATGTGGATAAATAGGGAACTCTGAGTCCGGGATACCTTAGTAAGTTCAGCCAGAGGTGTGCATGTGGCTCCCCCAGACTCTTGCTTTGGGACTGGGCATGTAGCTTAGTTGGTAGACTTCCTGCCTAGCATGAATGGGAGGGACCCTAGGTTTGCTCTCTGGTACCACAAAAGCTTGGGGTTGTTCAAATCTGGTGCTGTAATCAGCACTGGGGAGGTGAAAGCAAGGGGATCAGAAGCTCAGGGTTATCCAGGGCTACACAAGGAGTTCCAGGCTAGTCGGGGCTACATGAGACCCTGTCTCAAAAATTAAAAAAGGAGGCAGTAGCTCACAAGCAGAGCTGACTGTTCACCTAGAACTGACTGCTGGGTTTGGCGGCAGCTGAAGCCCAAAATGATAGCCTGAGGTCCAGAGACAAAGATAAGACAGCCCATGCGGGCAGGTGTTGTGAAAGAGCAGAAGCAACCAGAAAGGGACCCATTTCACCATCTAGGGGTGCCCGTATGTCTTCTCTGAGGAATACCTCTAGAGATAATTACTTCATACTTTTTAAAAAATGTAGTCACCCACCCTCCAAGGAGGGAAAGCCGGTTTTGAGGGGCCCAAGGCAGGAAAGGAAAAAAGGCCAAGGGGAAAGTGGAGAAGCCAGTCCTGACTCCAGTAATCCCAGGGCCCCTGAGGGCCATTGTTGGGCTGGGCTGTGCCTGCCCGCAGCATTTATTCAGGAGCCTAGGGCTCAGGGCCTGTGTGCAGCACTCAGTCAAACACCATTCTGTGTAAACACGGTCAATGCTCTTTTTGTTATGTGGGGTCTGAGAGCTTGCTAAGGCTCCCTCCCCACCCGACCAAAAAGATGTTTATCAGGTTGTCAGGAGAAAAATGTGGACGCCCACCACGTGGGACCCGCCTTTCCCCTTCCACACTTACAATGAACCGTCTCTCTCCCTCTGCTTGCCCCTTCCTGAGCCTCACAATGCAGTTACCAGAAGCCCCCCACCCCCCCAAAGGACATGCTAGAAGACAAAGACAGTCTTTGCAGATACAGCAGGGAAGTCCCAAACACTAAGCCATTTCTAGACTGGAGCTGGGAAGGGGGTGCGTTACAAATTTTAATTCTGGTCAAGAAGCCTTGCCCAGTGGGGACACGAGAGGCCCCCATTTATCACGATTTCACAGAGGAAGGTGGACATGCCTGGTGGCAGCTGCAGACGCCAGATCTAAGAACTACTGAGTCCAGCTTTCATGAGTGTGGTGGGGCTGGAGAGGGGGATGTAGGGGCTCATATGTCTCAAAAGCCACTTGTAACCATAGCTGTCTCTGAAGTGACTTGTGGCAAATGCCAGCATATGGATGTGGCCCCACAGGCTGTGACAGAGACAGATGGGTGGATTCAACACCCAGTGCTCACAAACACACAGGCCTTCAGACAGCCTGGGCCTCTTTTCCCACCTGCATGGCTGATTTTATGTACAGCAAATATTAGGCCGTTTTTAGAACAACTGTGGCTCTTTCTTCAGCAAAGCTGCCTCCCTCACAGGGTCTCTGAACAAACAGTCATCCAGCCCAGGCGGGGTGGGAGGAGCCCATTCTCAATAGCATGACTGCCATCTAGTGGCCAGCTGTGGCGGCTGGGCTCCCTGGAGGGCTATTTACATTGAAACTGGAGAAATTGGAGGAAGCCCCCCTGTGGGGTTCATGCAGTCAGGGGGCTAGTTAATGGACCTTGCCCTGGGGGGGTCTTCCCGACAAGATTCCCAGAGGTCAAAGGGATTCTGCCTGGACACTGAGACCCAAGGGTGGTGCTTTAAAATCTGGCCTCAAAGACCAGGGGTCCAGGAGAGAACGGAGAGCAGGCTTGAAAATGCACTTTCTGGCAAGTCTGCAACTCAGTGAATAAAGGCCCAGGCAAGGTAGGAGTCCTCTCCCTGGATCTCAGGCAAGGATGAGATGAAGTAGTTTGGTGCCTGCCCTCCAAGAATCACTGTCATGACTAGACTGACAAACAGAGGAACGTGAAGACCCTTGTGCCCCAGAGATCTCAACCTCTTCACTGCATCGGGCTCCTAGGGGAACATCAGTTTTGCACCAGGCCCAGGATCTGTCCAAGGGCAGGTCTTCACAGACCCGTGGCTTTCCACACACATTCCCTCTGATTTCTGTTTTCACCAAACAGAAAGCCAAGGCATTGGCCTTTAACAAAAAAACAAGGAAATGGACTTACTGAGCTCTGCAGAGGTGCACTAGGACCTGGGCTTCTCTTTCTCCAGGTCTCCAGGTCTAGGGGCCAGAAAGGTGGAGTGCATTGCACAAACAGCCCCAGGGCACAGTTGAGACAATGAGCAGAAACAGGTCTGCTCTAACTCACCAGCTGCACGTAGGCTACTTTGTAGTCTGGCTTCTTGATCCTTACACTCTTGTGATCCCTTCTCCTGTTGGAGCCTGTGAGGGGACAGCAGACCCTGCCTGAGATCCTGGCCCCTGATCAGCCCTACAGTTTAGAAGCCATTTTCCAGCAAGGCACAGGATAATGTCTGGAGGTGGGGGTTTCAACGGGGGGGGGGGGGGGGGGGGGGAGGTCTCAGACAGATCTCCCAGCAAAACCCGTTTCTATGTTTAAGTAAAAAGAGTCTTTGAAAATAGAAATGGCAAAAGATTTTAAAAGATTAGAAGAAATCTCTTTTCTCTCTGGTGAAATGTAGTTTGGGGGGGCACTGCCAGCCCGCCCTGGGCACTGGCTATGCCCCTGCTGGGCCACATCAGGGTCTGTGGAGGAGACTGTGGAGACCTACTAGAGACCAGCCCAGGCTAAGGAAATGGTTTGAAGGAGCAGAGGACATTTCAGGGTCACAGCTAAAAAAAATGCTGGGGACCTTCAATGGACTACAAGGAAAGGGGCTAGGAGCAGACTTCCACCAAGGAGCCCATGTGACTCTGGCAAGTCACCCAAATCTCTCATGTCTCAGTTTCCCCTCATGGAGAGTCTGGAGATATGGAGGAGGCACAGGGCTATTCCCTGGAGGTAAGCCACCAACACGGATACCCACCATGTTGCACCCGCGTGCGCACAGCAGCCACAGGGACATTGTAAATTTGCTCAAGGTAATTCCGGAGGTCCACCCTGGTCATCCTGGATGAGACAGAAAGAAAACAGGTCTGAGCTAAGCCTAGATAAAGGATAACAGAGAAAGATATCTTACCCAAGGGTAAGGGTGAGAGAGCAGGAACAGCTGTGGCCAGATGAGGTTGGGCCCCAGTACTGTCCTCTCTCCTGACTCAAGGGTAAGTTAGGGCAATGAGAACTTGGTTTCATCAGCTTGATTTACTTGGTCCTCTCTTGATCATCACCAGGAGCCAGCTGGGCTCACCCTGATAAAATGTAGAGCATCAGGACTGTTCCCAAGCTGGGCTCCTATCTGTGACTAGACTTGCTACTGTGGTCTTTGAGACACTTGCTGCTAGAAAGGGGCCTCTAGGACAGGGTGGATGAAGCCCACATAGGTTTTCAGTACAACCCTGGCTACCACAAGTGCCTGTGCATGTCTGTAAGGCTGAAGAGACCCTACCCCAGCGTATGTGGGTATTTCCCCCTGCCCCCTGGTCCCTCTCCCCCAGCTGAGCTGGTGCCTTAGGTTTTAGGACTCAGAGCAGCACCCGCAGATGGAATTGCACTGCTCCTTCAGAAAGGACAGAAGAGAGAGAGAAAGGAAAAAAAAAAAAAAAAAAAAAAAAAGGAAGGAAGGAAGGGAGGAAGAAAGAAAGAAAGAAAGATGTGGCTGAACTGAGCAGAGGGAGGTGAGGAACTCAGGGCTAACAATCTAGAAGCTCTGCAAATCTCAGCATGCTCCAACCCAGCCTCCGGGGACTCCTTTCCTGGGAAAAGGATGGAGGCAAGAATTCAACAAATCTCAGGCTTTCTGTTAAGCTTTCCCCAGGTGGAGGGCGAGCCAGGAAGCCAGCCAAGAGCATGCTTGCTCTCTGGCTGCCTGAAGTTCTGCAAACATCGGGCCCCTCCACCATCCGCTGAGCAAGCAAAGTGGCCCCAGGTCTTTCCACCACAGGAAAAGCCTGGCCCTGGGGAGTTGAGCTAGAAAACAGGACAGGACCCACATCCTGGAGGCCGCTCCCCAGCCCCCAAATTCCTTTGGGACTTACTTACTCCATGGGGATCCGGAATTGCACAGTGTCTTCAGGCTGGGCAGTACCAGGCCGCACCAGCTGGATGAAGAAGTTGGTTCGGAACACACGGAGCTGGGGGCCACCAAGCTGGTAGAGGGGGTACCTGCTCAGGAAAGATTAGGGGATTAGGATTGCACACACACACACACACACACACACAGTGCTACAGGCTCATGTGTCCACTCACACCAGTAGGGTCAAGGCAGGCTGGGGGCAGTTATACATAGGAACTGCACCAGGACATGGAGGTCACAGAGCCTGTCCCTACTGCATGGTGTGATTAATACAGGTGGGGTGGGGGGAGAAGTTTCCCAGTCCTTAGCCTCCCTTCTGCCATACCAGGGTTATGGACACTACAGCTTGCCTCTGGAAAGGGCAAAAGGGAAGCTTAAAAACAAAAACAAGAGCTGAGGATTATAGTGTGGCAAGGTAGTCATAGTCCCAGCTTAAAAAATGTAAGAGAGCAAGGGAGGAGGACCTCATAAGCAGAGTGGTAGTGGTACTCCACTTGAAGTTATGAAACTACCACCTTCTCGGAAGACCTACCAACTCCTTTTCCTATGGCCAGAGAGAAGGACCCCTTTACTCTCCCCCTCAGCACAGAAGAGCCCTTGTTCCTTGAGAGGGAGGCTGGGGACTGGTGAAAATGGTGTTTCCAATATGGAGCTTTAAGCTGGCAACACATCACTGGACTCCTAAAATTACCCAAACAGGCAGAAACTGCTAAGGATTTGGGGTAGCCACTGTTTCTCACCATTATCAGATCTGTAGACAAAGCAGAATCTCTGCCTGGTGGTCTTACATGCCTCCCAGCCCACTGAACAGACACAGGAGTGGAGAGATTCAAGGTCTGTGGACTTACTAGAGGCGCACTGTCCACAGGTCCCAGGTGGAAGATGGAGACACAGACTACCTAGGGTCACACTGATAACCAGAGGTGTGGCATGTGGGTCAAACCTAGGAGCACCTAAACCTGTGAAACACTGAGCTCCATGCTGATCTAGCTTTGGAGAAGTACATGCTGGCTCTCCAAGTTGAGAGAACACCACATTGTAAGGACAGGGCTGAGAGTATATATTCATGTGGGGGGCGGGGTGAAGGTGGGGGCTGAGAAGCAGGTACCTGGGTTTCAGATGACCCTGAAGGTAGTAGCCTGGTGGGAGCCCCGGAGGCAGGCTCTGTAGCTAAATGTTTGCCAAACTCAGCCAACCCAGTGATCAAATCCATACATTGTTGCCAGATCTCTAGTGCCCTGGTAGAGCCTCTCTGAGAGGACCTTGAGCTCTGTGCCTACAGGAGCAGGCAGCAAGGGGGGCAGGGAGAAGACCCCAAAAGAAGGGCGGGTTCTCAAGACCAATATGGAGCCTTGAAGCCCAGGTCAACTGTGATATCAAAGGTAGCCTCACACTATCAGCAGGGCCCTAACTATGGCCCAGCATGAGGACAAAACTGGGAAGGCTTTCCTTAACACTGGAAAGTGGGGTACAGTACTCACTAAGCTCCCTAGTCCCTGCATCTTCAGGATTAGGACCTGAGAGCAGAGGCCCTAAGACCACACTGGAGTCATGAGGACTACTTGCAGATTTCTGATCCCCCTAGATCTGCCCTTGCCCACAAACTCTCCCCAGACTGCCAGGCACATCCCAAGCCTGGTGACTGACTGCCCTCGGAAAACTTGCAGCAGCCTCTGGTCCCAGGACCCTCCCTGCTCTCCTAGCTTTGCTGCTCTTCTGAGGCCTGGCTTTTCGGGGTTCCTCTAACTTAACTTCCTTCCTACTATTTTTTCCAAACACCCCAAACAGTCTATGTCCTCCCCTCACAACCTGGGCACCTGACTCCCCACTGGTAACTAGGCTGTGACTTCTTGGTAGCTCAGGACTCATTCCTGATCTCACCGTTGTCCTTACCCACCCAACATCCACTCTCACACATGGGTCCCGCTAGCTCCCTGCAAAGCCAGGGGGTGAGCAAGTGGCTGACTCACACCGCCCTGATTCTGAGGGCCCTGGTTCCTCCTAGCCAGTCTGCGAAAGAAATTACACGGGTGCCCACCAGACAATTCCTCCAACCCACTTCCCAACTGTGGGCAGGGTTCCCCAAATCCCGTCTCCATGAGAACCCCCCAAACCCACATTAGTGCTCAACACAGGGCCACCCAGCCAGTGGGTCATGTGTTCACTGAACACGTGTTTCCTGCTTAGACTGTGGGAGGCCAACCCTGCTGGCCACGTGGAGATCTGTGAACTCAGCAACTTTCGGGGGCTTGGGGCAGGGATGCTGCGAGCACGGGCCGATTTCGGCCCAGCTCTGGCTATTTGCCAGAGCAGGCCCGAGCCGTTGGCTGTGATTGACAGCCAGTACACTACGCCGCGGTAGGTCTGCCGCGTGGACTCCTGCGGGAAACCGGCCGAGTGCGGGCGCCTCCTGCTTCCGGTCCTCGGGACCGCCCGGGCCCCGCGCCCACCCGACCTGGGCTGCGCTACCCGTTCAGCCCGGCAACGATATTACTCACAACACATTCCGCGCCATGGCAGCCGCACCTCCCGGTCCGGAAGGAGCAACACCCCGCACAGTGCCCGCGCTGGCACAGCGCCCCCTCGCTTCCGGAGGCCGCGCTATCCCTCTCCCTGTACCGCAGGGCCACGCACATTCGGTGTCCCGCAAATCCCCACCCCCACCCGTGCACCACAAGCTTCCCGGACACCGCCTCCAGCACGGAGCACTCCGCCTCTCTGCCTGGCACACAATGCACAACCCCGCCCCTCACCCGGACCCGCAAAGAGCCCGCGTGCACACTGTACCCGGTTGTTCCACCCAGAACCACACACTGCAGAGTCCCGCACACGACTCCTTGTACAGTATACCTCCCTGCTCTTCATCTTGTAAGCGCCCTACACGCACATACTTTCCCACCCACAAGGGCACCGCGCTTTGCCATGAGCCACCTCGTGCTTTTGCACCGCTGGCTGGTGGATTCTACAAAGGGCACCTACTGTCCTGCTTTCCCATCCTAACATTGCATTGCCCCTTCAAGCACTGTCATACACCCTGCACCCCCAAATCTACTCTGAACCTACGCTGTCCCCTTGCTGTAGGTAGTCCAGCACAACCTTTGTTCCCACTCTCCTTTTTCTAGGCTGGACTAAAACCACATTATAAGGCTCACCTAGGCCTGGTTGTTCAGCCCCCACCCTGTGTCCCATGGCCTAGCTGTACAAACATCCACAATGCCTTCCGCTATGCCTAGCTCTTTGTCCCTTTCCCTCCCACAGGCACGTCAAGAGGCTACCCCCCCCCCCCGTTCCACACAGGACCCTAACCCTCAACAATTCATAACAGCTTAGCCAACAATCCCTGGGACAGCAGAGATGGGGAAGGGTGGGGTGGGCTGGACCTCCTGTCTGAGGTCTAAGGCCCCTCTCCCAGCCCTGGCTGGGTTGTTTTCCCTTCCAGGCTAGACTCCCAGGACCCCCTCCTTTCTCTTTCCCTCCCTTTCTTGGCTGCCCAGCCACATTTGCAGCCCAGCAGCCCTGCATACTCCCTATCCCAGGAGCCCTTGGCCACACCTCCTCTAAGAGGCCACTTGCCTTCTTAGGCCTTTCTGTCCACTGACCCTGCACCCACAGGCCAGGGACCCTTCAGCCTGGCCCTTACTAAGAGGTCCCTGTCCATAGCTCCTGTCCCTGACTTGGTGGTATTATAGCTCTTTCCTGCTCGCGGGCCCCACTTTCCCTACAAATTCTCCTCTTTGCTGGTTTCCAGCTCCCTCAGTCCTTTTTTACTTTGTGTCTGCACTCCTTGGCAGCATAGATGCCTGTTGTGCCTGGGGGTAGGCAAGGGTATACTGTAAGGGGCTCCTAGGAGGTTCTAGTTCCCAAGACATGTAGTGTTGTGTTTCTAGGTCTAGCTGGGTAGAAGAATGGTGACTCTAAGACAATGGTTCTCAACCTTCCTAAGGCTGTGGCCTTTTAATATAGTTCCTCATGTTATGGTGACTCCCAACCATATAATTATTTTCATTGCTACTGTATAACTGTACTCTTGCTACTGTTATGAATCATACTGTAAATATCTGTGTTTTCCATAGTCTTAGGAGACCCCTGTGAAAGAGGTTGAGACCATTTTTCTAGAAGCATCTGGAGAGCCCCCCCCCCACCATCTCACCTATTTAGTGATGAAAATGACCATTGGGGTTATCCAGGATGAAGGAATTAAAGGGGAGCAATGAGGTAATGAGCACAGGTACCTGCCCATATGCCCATATGTAGGCCTCCTGTGTTATGATACATACTGAGAGTGGTTATGGCCCACGAGACTGTTGGATGGACAGGTCATGGCCCAGCAGCAGATGGTCTTAGCCTGGTTTGGGTTCTGAGGCCTCCCTCCCTGCATCTCCAGGTGAGACTTTTCTCCCTGTTCCGCTTGCTTCTCTTGTTGTTCTGTCTGACTGAGCTACCATAGCCCTTGTACACTTACCACTCCACACTCTTCTAAGAGACCACTGGCTAGAAGAGGGACATGAGGGCCAGAAAAGTTCAGCGTTGATATTTCCTTATTAAGCATTATTGGTAGCCATATTTAAAGCTGCTAGTTGATTGACTCCAGGTTGTAGCCCAAAGTTGAGCTCAAAGTTGGCCGTCCGTGCTGGGAAAGAGACTTGATAAAGCATGTGGGTCTCAGAGATTGAATTTAGATTCATCTGGCTTGGAAACGAGCACCTTTACCCAAACTGAACTATCTTGCTGGCCTGATCTAAAATGAGGTGTTTCTGAGACATCCCTTGGAAAGAAATCATCCAAGGATGAGGCAACCATATATGTAATATATGGTGTATAACTCAGGGGGAAAAGACTCCCTAAAGGGCAGAAGTAGAAAGGACTGGGAATGAAGAAGGTGCTGAGCAGGGAGATGCCACAGGGCCTGGGAGCTGGGGTCCTCATGGCTTGGAAAAGAAAAAAGGAAAGGCTTTAGGAGAGCAATAAGCAACTTACGTTGGAAACACATTGTAAAAAGGAACAATATGCCACTTCAAGTGCCTACCCCAAGCCTGTCCAAGGTTCCACAATGTCCTTCTGGTTGGAATTTTGAGGTTCAGTGTCAGGTGGTTCTGGGACTGAAAGACAATGTAGCAGAGGACTTCCGGAGACACATCAGATTCTCCCAACACCAACCTCAGTTCCATTCTGGCTTGCTCAGATGTAGTGGTTGTGACCTCTGAACAAGCCACATCTCCAGCACTGGATAAACTAGACATTGTGGGGCACTTCCTAGTAGAGTGTTTTAAATTAAAATCATGCCAGGTACCACCATATCTGGCTCTTTTGGCTTTTTGGGACAGGATCTGGCTAGGTATTTCAGGCTAGTCTCAAACTCTCCAAAGTCATTCTGCCCTGCTTCTGTAGGGCTGAGATTACAGGCGTGAGCCATCATGCACAGTTTGCTCAACAACTTCTTCCATGTGCCTCTTCCTGTCTTGCTGTTCAGATCTTGGCCCAACATTTTGCATTTGTGGTGTTTGTTTCAAATTGTTGACTTTGAGAGTTCCTTAGGGAGCCTGGATCAGACCTAAGGAATCTCATGCTATGCAGAGATTCTCTCTCTTGGCTTCTAGCTTGTCTCCTCAGTCTCCTTGTAGTTACCATTTGAAGAAACAAATTAATAATAATAATAATAATAATGAACTCCAATTTGTCAATTTGTTTTAGAGAATATGCTTTAATGTTGTGCCAAATACACCTTTAAATGACCCCCAAGCACAAAGATTTTCTCTTGTATTCTGTGTTCCTACTATTCTTTTTTTAAAATAGACATTATATCCAGTATGGAATATGAACTCTGTTGTTTTTCTTTTCTTTATTTCTTTTTTTTTTCTTTTTGTATTTGGATATTCAGTTGTTTTAACCAATTTTCTCTAAGAAGCAGTTTTGTATCTAGATGTCTTTGCACCTTGTGTTGAAAATCAGTAACAGCTTCAGTGGGTAAAGGTGCTTGCTATGCAAGCTGACTACCTCAGTTGGATTCCCAGGACCCACATGGAGAAAGCCAACTCTCAAGAGTTGGCCTCTGACCTCCACATAAGCACTGTGTCGTGCATGCCCTCCACA